TTTAGAAATGTTCATGTGTTTGCCTCGGTGACACTGTCCTGAACGAAGCAGTTTTATGTATTATGAGGCACTCCAAACAGGAATTCAGAAATATATTTTCTTTATTCCGAAAGACAGTATTCAAAATTGTAAGTGATAACACCATTTTTCAATATTTTGTGAACAATTGATTTTATATATGGAATTGAAACAAAAGCACTCCAAACATTAAAGTTCTGGACATAAGATCTGGACAATATGAGTTGCTTAGGATTCATTCTAAAGTGTGCACCTGCAGAACGCAGATGACTATTGAGTCCCTGTTACATAATGTCATCTACTGTCCTAGAATCCCTTGTGCAGTGTTAGTGGAGTAAAGTGGAAAGCTAGAATTTCCATTGCTATTATAAAATTTCAGTTTTCTAATCCAGACTATTTAACCTAAACCCTTAAGGAGACAAATTCTCAAAGAGTTTAATAAAATCTTGTATTTTATGTATCACACAGAGTACAGTTGTGTTGCAGATTTGTCTAATGATTCAAATTCCTATACCCTATGGCTTAGAATCACGATTGTGATGACAAATTCCACAGCCCTTGTTGGAGTGAGCAATGAAGTAAGACTTGTATTTACATTGCCTTGGGTTCCTCATGATGCCCACGAATATTTAACAAGGTAAACTCAGTGGCCTCAAAGAATAATACTAGGCAGGTGGCAAATATTAATACTTTGACCTAAGAATAAGAAATTGGGTGACAACTGCTAGGCAACAACAGACGTCTGTCTCCTAAAGCTTGTTATAAATCATTGTTACATGCTGGTGCCACCTACTTATGACGTCTTTCTCCACTCAGAAACTACAGTGGTTTTTTTACTATATTTAAATACTGCCTTTCAGGAATATACAAAAAAAAAGTGAAGAATAGACTAGAAATAAGGGTTGTGATCATAAAAGCATAATTAGGATTTAATAGAGCATGCTCCAGAGAGGCCTTCTAATAACTGAAGGAAAGACCACATTAAGAGGTCCAGTATTGCCCGTCTTTGCTCCCAGCAGTGTCCGGCTGCACTGCCTTCCCACTTACCACATAGTAATCTGCTTGAGGAACATCGCTGCTCCAAAGCCCAAAACAATATTGGAACATAAAAGATTTCAGCCCAGCCCAAGGCTGAGATTTCAATTCCCAAATGCACAACACAAAGTGTGAGCAGTGTGTTTTTCTGAATGTAGTTTTCTTGTCTTAATACTCTAATTATTTCTTGGGCAAGCTTATCCTTTTCTCGGTACTTTCACTCTCTCTCCAAAGAATCTTACCCTCTGACATGTTTCTTCAAAACAGGGTTACTCTTCTTTGTAGATTCAGATCAAGCACGCTTCTTTCCATCTTTAAGCAAAGTGTTTTTTTCTATTCTTATCAAATATTTCTGTTATTTCTTAAAGAAGGTGTCATGAATAATTGACTATATTCTAATTTGAATTAATCTTGTACAATACATATGTTAGTGCGTAGCATCACACGTTTACTACAACTGTACTCTAAAATATAATTACAACTCACAGTTTTGAAATAAGTATAACTTCTCAGCTGGACCACTCTGTATTCCAACTGTTTCTTCACCAGATCCAATTGGAAAAATCAAAACTCCCAAAGTAAACGAAAAGCAGCCAACATGTCTTTAATATTCCTTACATATGAGCTTTTTATGAGACATCTTTGTTTTGTTCATACTGTGACAATTTTGGTAAACATTAGCATTCTATTTCTGCAAATTTTACAATGTGTTACTACAGTGGTAAATGGCTTGGGAAGAATTAAAGATAGGTAAATAAGAAAACATCAGAAAATTGTGTACTATTGGGTTTTAGATTCACATTATATTAAATATTTTCTTTTAATTCATATATATATATACATATATATATATATATATCATAAATGGCATTACATCAGAAAATTGTGTACTATTGGGTTTTAGATTCACATTATATTAAATATTTTCTTTTAATTCATATATATATACACATATATATATATATATATCAACTAAATGGCATGAATTTCCTGAATTTTTACCATAATTTCTGGTAAAATTTGTTTCAGCAGATGAAAATGCAAAAGACTCCATAAAAATCACAATTTCATTAGGTCGTGGAGAAGTGTCTCCTACTTATTTAACAAAAACAAGAGAAGAAGATTTATGTCATCTAAGTCCGACCCATTCTAAACCAGGGGCTGGCAAGACACAGCTCTATGGCACCCTGACATCAGAAGCTGTCTGTCACGGAATTGGTCCTTTACTTCTAGAACACAGACATGGATTCTTTCGTATGCATCCACAAAGAAACTTTAGGAACAGGCTCCTGCCTAAATAAATGTTCATAGCTGTCATGTAGCTACCAAGATCAAGTGGGGACATTTTGTGAACATTCATACGGACTCCACTAAGCCATTGTCATTTACAACACGGACGTTTTTTTGAATTGGAGAAAAAGGTGCATCTCTTACAATGGCACACTTCACGTGCTCCCATGGGCAAGGTCTTGTGGACAGTCCTGCACATCTTATTATCATGGGAAATTATTCCTTTCAAATGAACGAATCATTACAGGCTTATTCATTTGAGCTGATGGTTGCCAATGATACTCTTTCTAAAATATTAAAGGACTTGTTTTGCTTCACACACACGCACAAGCACATAAATTCATCGAAAATATTCCTTAAGTTACTTCAGCAAAAACTGCGCCATTCAAATTACAATTTAAAAAATTTTAACATCTCCCTGCTTCTAGCTTTTATGTGTACTCCAAATACTTCCTTCTATGTGAAATGACAGAGCTAACTCTAGTAACCGAAATCTCCACTATGCTGGCAGAAAGATAAATAATTTATCATTATGTTTTGATTTTAAGATGGCAATCTCAAAGAATACAGAAAGGAAAATATGAATCAAAAGATTCACATTTCATGTGCAGTGGGATGATGGTACAAAGAATAAGATTCCTTTATATAAGCATTAGATTGTATAACAAATGCTTATATTGCCAAAGTCTGCAAAGATTAGACTTCTGTTTCAGACATGTATTGAAGCCTTTTACTGTTTAGATACACCTCAACAGAAATTACTGACAGACTGAACGTCTTTTCTTCCAGTGAATTCCTTTCTGAATGACTGTGTCACTAATAAAAGTTGAATAGAAGTGTCTTGGGCTAAATATTTTCATGTCTATACTATCTGAAGCCTAGAATTAATTAACACAAGACTACAGTTTTATCTATTTAGTGATTTATCTGCAGTTTGAAGAAGATGCATTTCTGGGCCAACAGCCTTAATCTCCTGCACAGGCATTGTAACTTAGAAGATACAAATAGACTCAGTAGCTGCAAGTCAAAGATAGTATTTCCCCAGGAGCCCTGCTAGCTGTTGAAAGAATACAGATCATTGTTTGCTGCTGAGTGCAAAAAATCATTAAGAGATTACTCACAGAATTCTTACTTATCTATGTCATGTTTTAAAAGTAAGAGAACAAAAAGCAAACATATCATATGACTACCAGGATGTATCACTTCTAGGCATCCCCCACTGACTGGTCTACTGAAAAACATAAACTTGGCCCTGTAAAGACCCATTTATTGGTCAGGGAATGCATATGTCCATGTTTTCCATGAATGGGTAACCGTTCCTGAGATTGTGGAAAACTCTAGATTCCAGAAGTCCTAAAAGTCTTTAACACCACAATAATGTTTGAACTGGAAAAAAGTCAATTGTCCTCTGGAATGTTTGGTGTCAGAGATTAATTTCATGTGAGACTCACATTTTCTATAGTCATCCTTACTGATTAATGTCCCATAGATAGAATTTGATAAGGAAAGGAAATCTGAAAAGAAGGATGGGGATGATTAAATTTAAATATTCTAGTATGAAGACTGAAAAAAAAAGATTTAAAAAACTAGTTTAAGATTACAATACATATAATTTTGAAATTTAAGAAATTTAATGATTAAATATTTATAGGTTAGTTTGATTTAGAAATATAAGCAATATCACAAAGAATTAAGTCTTGTGTAAAGAAAACTTTGGAAGTTGAATGAAAAAGATCTCAAGTTCTTTTTACACTCCATAGTCTGCAGGGGCCAGCATAGTGCTCTCCTCAGTAGGTACTTAGAATATTGCAATGACAGTTATATATGCAGACTGATATAATATCAAGCTTTGGTATAAAAATTGATATCATGTATAATTAAACTAATCATAAATAAATTACAGCAATAACTTGATGTTTGATATCATACGATTGATATATCTGAGATTTGTGCTCCTTCTACCGTCTTTGATCCAACAAGATAAAGCCTCTTATATTTTTTCCATGACACAGATAAACAATGCTAACTTCCTCAGATTCACAAGTCCAGCTAACTAAATATCCAGGAATAATGCCCAACTTGAACAATTCCTGATTTTCTTTGCACTAGAGTTACTAGTGATGGCTCTTCCCTCTCGGATTACAAGTTCTCCTCTCCCATTCCAAGGTCGTCCTTTGCTGAGCTTTGCTCCCAACCTCCCTCCTTAGGTTTCTCTCCTGGTGTGCAGTTAGTTTCTCCCTCCTCACATGTCAGTGCCCTGCAGGTGACAGAACACCGAGCCCATCTCTGGAGATGAACAGAGTTGGGTTTATTGACTTTTTTCAGCATATGCCTTGGGTTAACCCTTCAGGGTGTCTCAGTGTTAAGAGGGTTTTAGAAGGGTCTCGTCAGAGTTATGTGAGGTGGTGAAGAGGTTCTAACAGGCAGAGATTCACTCAGGAATACATACTTGCAAAAAGAGAGATAATTTTATCATTTAATATCGTAACACATTTTCTAGAAGATGGGAATAAGGGAGGTAGGAGGTAATGTTATCCAGGAAACTGGATATCTGGTGATTTTTTTTTTCTGATTTGAACAATGTTCTTATTTTAATTCATTTTCAAATATGATTCTGAAGTAGCCTTGTCTTGTCCTCTTTCCTCTTGGTCACACAGAGGTCCAGTGTTGTTGTTCTGTGACCTTTGGTTTGCTGTGAGTCCTACTCATCTCCTAGCAACTCCAAGGCCTAGTTGAGAAGTCCAAGGCACCTCCTGACATTCAGGTACTATTTTTCTTTTTCTTGTATTCTTCAGGCTTTCACCCCGTATCCTAAAAATAGCTACTTAACTATTGCATTTATTCAATCATGAACTATGTCTTGAACACATGCTCTGAGACAAACCAAAATTGTTGAGATATAAGAAGAAAGTACATGATCGTGTAGAGAAAGACTAGGGCTTCCTCATAGTATTGTAAAACTTAAATGGTATTTCTCAAAGAGGATATGAGGAAGGAGAGATGGAGATGCACACGAAGACAGAAAGCGAGACGGGAGGGAAGGAGGAGAGACTGGAGATCTTAGGATACTGCTGAAACAGCAAGTCCTCAAAAGGCAGTAACTATTGTTATCAAAGGATCTCTATTTGCATTGTAATTATTGTTGTCTTATATTTATATATAACTCAGGAGAACTATCCATGTTTTCTATGTTTCCCATTTTTCTTTTTATTTCTCCACCTACCCCAATAACAAATGGTCAAGGAAAGCTTTACGTAGAATTGCTAAATGGTCTAAAAGCCAAACATTTTGATTATAAGAATTTGTATTGGGGGGGTACCCGGGAGCGAACTCCAGTCCTTGCACTTGCAAGGCAGGCAGCAGAACCACTGAGCTAAATCCCCAGCCCTGGTTATCTTGAATATATGTTTATTAGTAGAAGTAATTAATGGTTTTGTATTTTGTACTCTGGAGTTTCAAAATACTTTCAAAAGTGAACAGGTAAAGAATAATTATATTTATTTGGTATCTTCTTTAGATAGTTTATACCCACAAGATGGGCCAGAGAGCACCACATGTTTTAATATTCACATACTGCACAGAAACAACAGTCCAACAGAATTTGCTGGTTCTGACACAACTCCTCTCTAAAGAAGATTTAAAGTCACTTTATTATTTTTAAATGCATTCTGATTTGTAGGAAATAGTTATTCTTTTCTTATGAGCATTTTATGTAGAAAATTATTAAAGGAAAGTTAAATACAAATATTAATTTTTGTGGGTTAAAAATACTACAAAGCATAAACTTGAGACTTTTTAGGTAAATGGATTCATCTTGAGACCATAATCAGACACACAAATTTAAATACTGCATTGTTTCTCTTGTGTGAGAAACTCAAAGTGTAAATAAGGAGTAAAATGGAGGATATTAGAAAGGAGGGGGAATTCATTCAAATGGGGAGGTGAGTAAAGGAGGAAAGAGGAGAAAGGAAAAAGAGATTTTTTTTAAAGAGATAGAATGGAAGAAAAAATTGGCTTTTGTAAATAGGAAGGGGAAGATGGGTTAAAGGAGAGAAGGGAATAGGGAAAAAAGAACTGAAATATGTATAAATGACTCAGAATGAATTACATATGACAAATGTACTAATAAAAATAAAACTTAAAAATTAGCTCAGAGTAAACACGGAAGATGATGCTTGATTAATTCATTTTGTACACTGAAAAAAAATGCTTTCTTTTTGAATGAATAAACTTACTGAAAATAATGAATCTCTACCACAGTGTGGACAGACATTTGAGAAAATTCTGTTTGCCTGTAAGGAGTCAACATAAAGGCACAACAGTCTGATAATTAACTTTTGGCAAATATTTGTGTCTCATGTTTTCTTTAGTGGAAAAATCTGTTCTTTTTATAGATTGTCTGGCAGCCAGAGGTCAACCATTCTAATCTCACCAGATTTCACTAAATGACTTGTGAATTCTTCTACTCCCATCAGTAAAATAAAACAGTCCACTTTTGACCACCTGAATGTGATAGAGGTTACAGTAAGTCCATAAAGAGAAAAAAACTTTCCATTACATCTCAAAATCAATGAAATGATCATTTATCTACAATGAATATTTGTGCCTATCTGACAAAAACAGGTCAAAGGTTTTGTGGGTTTTCTTCTGAGATTGCTCAGAGTCTTCTCTAATGACTGATAATTGAAAACAGAGACTGAGGCTATCAAATGGAGTGGGTGACAGATAAGCAGCAGATTAATGTGGATACTTGGTCACAAGACATTAAAAGGTCAGGAGTCACAGGAATTAGCTATTATGCTACTGTGAAAAGACAGACATCAAACGTCCATTATCTGCCTAATAGCTTTTTGCCTAGCCTGAAAGCCACTCTTCTTCCTTTTGGTTACAATTTAGAGATGATCTCGATGTCATTTTATACATGATGTCAAAGTGAAGACACTCAGCCTAGGATTTGCATATTGTTATAGTTTTAAAAAGTGGGTTTTTTTTAATATCAGAGGTCTAGTGTGTTGCATGCTCATTTTGAATAAGTTTAAGAACATTTTTCAGAAAAAAATAAACTCAATGGAAAGCTAAACAAATAAATGTCTTTTTCAAAATAACTGCTTTAAATTTTAAATCAGTGTGATAACTTTGATAGAGTTCTCTCAAGTTCAATTTTAGGTTCAATCTGTTGATTTTAAAGAAGAGAAAACTATACATTTTTCTGCCAAGTGGGTTATAATCTGTGAAATGTGATGTCTGGGAGTCATAGAGAAATGTGATTGTACTTATTGATGTATTAGGTTACTAGAGAGACAAGAATTTGACCTTACAGGTTTGAGAGGAGGAATAAAACCATAAGAACATGCATACACTCAAACTAGAAGAATACATAACACTCAAAACCGGAGCAGCCGAGTTATCTGCTCTGTTTAGACAAGCACTACAGTGGCTACTGGTGACCCACGTATGCTTCCCATGATGCTTTGCTCTCTGTGTCCCAAAATTGATTTTAGGCTGGAGGACAGCAGAGCTTCTGCGCGGCTCAATGCTGCTCTCCGTCTGTCTCTCTAGGTGTTCAGCGTTCACTGGTAATGAATGATACAGGAATACAAGTCTGGCTTTTCTGAGGGAGTTATTTTGTTTGGGGAGTTTTGGGTTGCTTCAAGAGAGAGGGTAAAATCAGATCCCATTATTCCAACTAATTCAAGAGCAGAAAACCTCGGCCACGTAGTCTTATTTTTAAATGAACCCTGTCCATGCTAAAAACTGGCATTAGTACAAATGATATACTTTTCCTTTTTGTAAAGAAATTCAAATCAAATAGCTTAGACGAATTCTAACAACATATTTTTATTTTCAATTTCATATTACCTATGTTGATACTTAAAAAAATATACTAGCCTAATAGAATTTCTATGACTGCTTAATGGATATAGTGCTGTGGAAAAAGGGAAAAAACTAACTGAAAAATAACTAACCAAATTTTTAGATTGTGTCAAATGGTAGAATTCTACATAACTATTTTACATATGAATGGTTTGTCATAGAAGACCAGAGGCATGCTGTTTTTTAAAATAATCTCCTTCCTATTTTCTCACTGATTATTCTTTGTACACAAGGGGTGATCTTCACATACAATGAATGTTTAAATTGGGGAAAAAATTAGAAAAAACTTACTATAATAAGAATATTGCTATTAATCTCCTTTAAAATACCCCCTCCCCCACTTCTAACTCCATTTCTGGAGCAGTTCTGGAAGTCCCCCTTTGCAAGTGCCTCTTACATGGTGTGATAAAAAATACAGTGAATGCTGCTGCCCAGCGCCGTCAAACAGGCAAGTGGGCTAGTAACAGCGTCATGGTGCCGTCCTCATCCAGCAGGGTCCCTGCATCCGGCACTGTGCCACGCCTGGCTCCTCCCCAGAGTCAAAATGACCACAAGAGGTCAATGTTGCAAATCCATTCAGGACATGGAAGCAGCCAATGACAGCACAAATGAAGACACCCAGGAAACAAAAAAGAACTCCCAGAACTGCTTCGGAAAGTGACGGGTGATAGGGTAATTGTTAAAAGTGAGGGGGAGTATTTTGAGGAGGAATTAATGGCAATGCGTCTTTTACTGTAATTTAGAAAAGTTAAACACTTGTACTTTTCAAGCATACATCATATTATACAAACACTTAAGAATTTCATTATATATATTTTATATATATATATATATACATACATATATAAGAAAGTGAAAGTTCATTTTATCAGTCTTTATGTAACAGATAGAAACTGGAATATGCATTACATGATTTATTTAACAACTCGTTATACCACATTATTGAAATTATGAGTTGAATGAACCAGTGTTTTCTATGAAGAGATGTCTGCTTTTGGGGACCTCAGAACATATGTAGATTCAATAAAGATGTTGCAGGTGCTGGAATCAATAAAGAAATGACACCATCTTCCTACATTTTATTGAATGAGACCACACTGCAATCAGAGTTCAGAGTCCCTTTGTGGTCTCAGGTCACAGCATTTGCATAAGCAGTCTCATATTTTGGTTGATCTGGTTTCACACTCCTGGGCTTTCCTTTTGTACTGGGACTTAAAGTCAACCATAAAACTCACAGCAAAAGTCAGCTCTGAATCTGTGAGTAGTGTCTGGTTTTCAGTCCAAATTTACAAATCCTCAGTTCCCTAAGATGCACGCTTGGAAGGAACAATGTTTCTTCTGAGATTTGTGTCTGTCCATCTTATTTTAGAATCTGATATAATAATTTCCTGAGTCTCCCGTTTTTATCTTATTTAATAACTCATCCAAATAACTCATAGACACTATTACCCAAAGGCCCAAATTCAGCAATAGAAAAATCCGAATACCAACCTGATTTAAACCATAGATTCCTCAATCTGTATGGGTATTGGTGATAACTAGTACCTCCAAAAATGACTGCAAAGAACAGATATAACTGTGAGGCTTTAGTATTAAATACGTAAAAGCCAGTAGATTCCAGGATCTCCCTCCATATTCTGTTTCTAAGCACCTATGCTTCTCCCAGATGAGCAGAGCTTTGGAAGTTTTCTGGAGGGGAAAACAGAGGGTCTTTGGCTGGCGTCAGTAGGCACACTTAAGAGTGTGGCAGGAAAGTGTGACAAGGAAAGAGGTGAGTGTATACGCAACCTGCGTGCTGCATTCCCGGCGGTTTTCCCTCACTGATCTACAGCCAACCTTCTGCATTCTAGGCAGGAGAAAGAGCATTCTCTCCTTGAAATCTCACCATTA